GGCCGCCGCTGCAGCTCAGCTCCTCCTGGCTCCCGGCGGGCTCCCCGCAAGGGCGACGCGAGCTCGGGCCCCGGAGCGGTCCTCTCGCCTCCGGGCTCTCGGCATCCGCGGACAGCCATGCAGAGCGTAGGGCCGGATTTATACCAGTGCCCCGAGTGACGCGGGGGCTGAGCCTGCTTCTCTGGCAGCATCATTCATTTGGGGGGGGTGTGTGTGTTTCTTTTCAGACACAGTGACATCACCTCCACTCACTCGGCTTAATCCCCCGGCGACATCACTACGCTTCTCAGTGTGCTGCAGTTTGGAGCATTCCTGACAGAGGAAGAGAGGAGAAGAGGAGAGGAGAATAAAAGAAAGAGAAAAGGGAAAAGAAAAGGGGAAAAAGAAAAGAGCCAAGACAAGGGAAAAGAAAAGAAACAAAAGCGAAGAAAACAGGGAAAAGACAAGTAAAAGAAACGAAAAAAAGAAGGGAGAAAAGAAAAGTAAAAGAAAAGAAAAAAGGACAAGAGAAAGGAAAAGAAAGGGGAAAGGAAAAGAAAAGAAAACAAGAAAAGAAAAAAGAAAAGGGAAAAAAAGAAGTAAAAGAAGAGAAAGTGCTTCCCTCATCTCTCTCTCTTTCTGATCTACAAATTCAGATGCAGGTTAAGAAGAAAGGGAGGGGAAGAATAACTGAGGAAAGAACCAAGGTCTTTTTAATCAGGGCTGAACTCTCATATTTTCAGTGAGAAACTTTTGCAGTTTTTGGAGGGAACACCCCTCTCCCCCCCAAACCCTGTTATTTTATTTGTGGCCTGTAGGGGGTTAGGGAGCTGGCTGTTTCAATAGCCCAAAATGTACGTGCTACACACAGCGCTGGAAACACAAGCTGGGAAATAGGTTAGGTTCTGCTCTGCAAACGTACTGGCTGGGGTGACCACAGCTGATCCGAGCCGGGGACTGAAAACTTCAGTGCAGGACTCCAAGAGTCCCCTGTCACTGCTGCTATTTAAGAAATCCAATCCACTTACCAATCCCCCCCCACTAGCACAAGAAACAGTGAGGAAGGAGATTTAAAACTATAAGATTTAGTGTTTTAAATCACTAAAGGGTCACAAAGGGCTTTATAATACTCAAAGGGCTATATCACAAAAACCCTGCAGACTATCTACACTACAATAGTTTTAGCCCTTTCAATAAGACAAAGCCTTTCATGCCACGTAAGTCTTCTCTTACCTCCTGGTAATTCAGACCTGAACCCTGTGTTCAATGGAGTTGTTCCAGATTCACACCTAATTAAAAAAGAGCTGAATGTGACTCTGTATGGACAGAGACGTAATTCTACCCTTATGGGCGAGTCGTGCCACCTTAGGGGGGGCACGTGCCCCCTCAGCGACCAGTCAGTGACCAGGGGGAGGTACCCCCACAGCTGAACTTGCTGATAGGGAGGGGTCCCCCTCAGCTGATCGTGAGGCGGCTGATTGCTGTGGCCATTTCTGGGAGCACCATAGCGCTCCACTCCCCAACTGACGCTTGCAGGGGGCGCACAGGTGCTCCCACCTGCCCCCCCCGGTCCATCCCCTAAGCAGTGAGCACGGCCATTCAGGGGGTGCACCGGCACTCTCAAGGGGTGCACGTGCACCCCCGTGAACCGCCTGCACATCGCCACTGTCTGCCCTCAAATGACCCAAGAGCAAGTGTCTTAAAAGCAAGCTGAAGGTAGAATGTAGCTCTAGCTCAGAGTTTCCCAGATTTTTGATACCTAGGGCATCCTGGGTTTTTTTCTGGATTAAAATTGCCCATATACTTCACTCACTGGTCTGTGGGCTAGATCCTGTTTGTGGGTCCCATTTAGTGGGGCCAGCCTGGCTAGGGTCCCATCCCACCCATTTTTTGCAGTGTGCTTCTACCACTATCATGGCACACTAGTGTAACCATGGCACAGTCATTAGGAATCACTGTTCTCGCTAGGATTTCCTGTCCTGGCTCATGAAGTTTGAACAAGTTGGGATGAATGTTTGGAAATCAGGGAGACATGTTTTCCTGCTCACAGGCTGTAACTGCAGCCACCCTTTGCCCTACACTTCCAGTGGCCTCAGGCTCAGACTCCCCCTCTGTTCTCTAGGACAGTGTTTCCCAACCTTTTCCAGTCCAAGGCACACTTGCATTAATAAAAATTTTCCGTGGCACACCTGTTAAGGCATTCCCCATGCTGATACCTATTGTAGCTCACTGCAGCTCATTGCCATGGCAAAATTCGCGGCATACCTATGCATTTCTGACAGCACACTTTTGTGCCGCGGCACACTGGTTGGGAAACACTGCTCTAGGAAATGGATCAAGAGGAGGCTGCCAACTTAGGCCAGGGTGTTTCCAAGAGACATGGGGCATGAAGGAAAATGCATGTGCTTGGGGTGGGAGTGATGGTGGTAGGCACCAGAGAGCAGATAAGAGGAAGTAACAATGAATTCCCACCAAAGTCTCATTTGAAGAAGTTTCTCTTTACTCCTAGCTGGGCACATCTACACAAGGTGCTACTGTGCAGTGGTTACTGCGCATTTATTTACTACTTGTATAATCAAGTAGTAAATAAATGCACAGTAACCAGAGTTACTGTGCATTAGCACTTGCAAATGCCTTTTTTGTGCTGCTACTGCACAGTAGCCTAATAATAATGTGCAGTGGTGTATTAGTACTGTTTGTGCTGCAATGTGCTACTGTGAAGTATTATTCGGCTACTGTGCAGTTAGCATCTTGTGTAGACATGCCCACTGTGTCCAAAAGGCACACAAGTTGACATGAGTGTTAGGACAATAAAACAGCTCTGGAGCTTAGAATCATAAAATCCTAGAGAAATAGGGCTGGAAAGTACCTCAGGAGGTCTTCTAGTTCAGCATTTCTCAACCTGTGGGTCATGACTCAAAAGTGGGTCACAAGAATATATGAAAGGGTC